ACTCCCAACCTTACGGCACAAACCTTTCCCTCATCCTCAACATCAAGTAAGCCTTCAGCCCTCTAAGGCTCGGCCTAAACACCTACACCAGAAACCCCCAAAATACCCACATCAAGCCTGTAAACGCCGAGATCCCACCACAAAACAACAAAGACAGATAGCACAGAAAAGTTTACGAAGCTTGGCCCGGTCTCCGCACAGTGGGCGCAGTGCAATCAGCGAGCCGCAGTCGTCCCAAGCTTCTGGCAGAGAATTAGATCGTTTAGCCTACAGTTTAGCGTGTATGGTTAAACGTTGCGAGGTTTAGGGTTGTAGGGTGTTTTTGGCTCCGGCATGGCAGTGTCCGAAGATACAGCGTGGCAGGTCACACTTTGGCCAAGGGTTGTAGGGTTTAGCTTTTGTTGTTCATTAAGGGCGTCCTTCGTATCGGAATGTCTCGGAATGACCCAAACCCACCCCTAAACCCTAAACCCTAAACCGATAAACCCTAAACCCTAGCCCCTAAACCCCTAGAGCCGATAAATGCTAAAACCCTAAACCCTAAAACCCTAAACCCCAAATCCTAAACCCCAAAGACCCTAAAACCCTAAACCCCAAAGACCCACACTTGGTAAGGCCATGTCCTTGGTCTCTGAAGGCAGGAGATCGGCTCATCCGAACTCCGGGGCCCACCTTGTCTCGAATTCAGGGTCTAATCCGAGCTTCGGGCTACGGGTGAATAGGGGTATTGGGTTACAGGGTTTCGGGTTACGGGTCTCTGCTATCACTCCCCTGAACGAACCCCTAAACCCTAAACCCAAACCCCCTAAACCCCCTCAACCCGAACTCAGAAAACCCGAACCCCAGGACCAAACGCTTTCTTGACCCCGTGCCTCTGAATGAATTCCATGGCCTCCTTGGGCCATCCACATGCAGGAGGTATGCCGGAGCTGTGGCAAGCAGTTCTCGGACCTCTCAGAGCTTTAGGGTTCAGGGGGTTTAGGATTGAGGGTTTCAGGGCCCTAAGCCCTAAACCCCAAACCCAGATTGAGGGTTTCAGGGCCCTAAACCCTAAACCCCCAACCCTCAACCTTCTAGGGTTTAACTTTTGAGGTGCCCAGGGCATGGGGTTAAGGTCCGGTTCGGGGCATCGAATCCATGCTCTCATCCCTTTCTTGCAGCTGGGCTCTGAGAGTGAGAAGCCCCAAACCACAATCCTAAAGCCGAAATGGCCAAAAAAACCTACGCCTAAGCCACAACTCTGGGAATGAATGCCACAGTCTTTCTGTTGAAGCTTGCGATAGGGGGCCCATGCTTCTGGAATCTGCTACCTTCAGCTCAAAGAACAAGTGCATGGAGAGTAAGCCCTGTCTGGCCTAGGGTTTTTCGATACAACTAAAAGACTACCCTAAGGGTCCATGTATCCAAACAGTATATACTTTGGCCTTAAACTAGTCCCTATTTGGGTAATTTGGGGCCCAAGTACGTACTATTTGGGCACATGGACCCTTAGGGCTACCAACGCTAATCCATCGGATTCCTTATCATAACTCTACTCCAACACTTGCCCAAAAAGCCTTTTCTAACCCCTAAGGCCCCTATAGGAACCCTTCTGAGCCCCTTTATACATTTTTTGTGCGCTCCTTTGAGGGCTCCCTTAAGGGATTAGGGTTTAGGGAATCGGGGGAAGATCTAAAATTTAGGGGTTATAAGGACTAGGGTGTAGGGATGCTTGAGGGTTCCGGCACGGGTTGCAGCTCCTAGTTTTCCATACTAAACCGCCCCAAACTCTGGGCCCCCAAAATTGGGGCCCGAAAAACTTCTGGGTAAGAATCAGTTGCAGCTACTAACTTAGGGCTGGACTGGACATGATTAGAAGAGGGTTAGGGGGGGGGGGGTCTGCCACAGGATGTCATCTAGTAGGGACTCTAAAGGGAATATTACTACGATGTTTTTCCGAAACCTAGGTCATTCTCCCCTTTAAACCCTCAATACCCTAAACCCCCTAGATCGAACCCTTGCCTCTTCTTGCAAGCAATGGTAACAGCCGGGCGGTCGGTAAAACTTGCCCGCAGGTGCCGCGCAGCCCAGGGCCACAAGCAACGCCGAAGAGATGCGCATAAGCCGCTGAAGCCATTTGCGCAGTTCCCTATATTTGTTTAAAGACCTAAACCCTAAACCCCTAAACCCTAAAGGGGGGTTTCGGCCTACCATGTCAAGCTACGATTTTTTTGGGTGATGTCAATTCGGACCAAGGTTCGCTGTCCGACGTGTTCCCTACCCATAGGCTCCAGAGTAGTTCCTTTTTGTGGCTTATTTTTAGGATCCTAAAAATAATAAATATGTATGTATAAGGTAATCCCCAAAAGGAGCTACTATGGAGCCGACGGGTAAACTTGTGAATATGGCTTGACATTGTGGGAGTTGTGTGCTCGGATTACACTTGGAATTATAACCCTAGGCCCTAAACCCCGATAAACCCTAAACCCCTATAAACCCCAACCCCTAAACCCCTAAACCCCTATAAACCCTAAACCCTATAAACCCTTTTTTGAACCCAGACTCTGCCACCCTATACAAACCCTAAACCCTTAACCCCTAACCCCTAAACCAAACTCTGGCTGAAGGACTCGGATGCTGACATCGTCTTGCGGCATTGGAGGCATGAGCACCAAGATTCCCGGCCAATGTTCCGACCGGTTTTGAGTTTAGGGTTTAGGCATCTAGGCGTTTAGGGACTAGGCGTTTAGGGCTTAAGGTTTTAGGGGTTTAAGGTTTGTTTGAGATAGGGCAAGCTTCTGTCGGAAAAGTGCGAGGCCTTACCTACGGAGGTTTTGATCCCATGTCTAAGTAAGAATCACTGGGTACTACGGCAGGCAGCGCCCTGAAACCCCTAAACCTGTTTTTGAGGAGGGGCTGCAGTGCACACCCTAAATCTCCCAAATCCCAAGCCCTGAACCTTTGTTTGCATCTGGTTTGCAACGACTCAACCAGGACAGAAACAAGAGGCACACCCGAAGCCCACAGCTTTAAGCTAGAAGCCTTCGGACTCGCGCCAACCATGTCTCTGCAACCTACCACCCTAAAACCCTAAGCCCTAAACTCGAAACCCTAAACCCTAACTAAACTCGAAACCCTAAAACCCGAAAATCGTCTTCCATAACACCCTAAACCCCTAAAGCCCTAAGAACCCCAAAAACCCTAAAGCCCTAAACCCACAAGCCCAAGAAGACCCCGGAGTCCCCGGGACCCAGTGCCACAGTTAGAACTTCTAACCGGTTTGGGGGTTTCGGGTTTAGGGTTCCGGGTTTAGGGTTTATAGGATTTAGGGTCTTAGGGTTTTAGGGTTTCGGGTTTCGGGTTTTCGGGTTTCGAACTTAAGGGACTATAAGGACACATAAGTACTAGCCCTGAAGCCCCCCCCCCCCTTAGTGTTAACATGGTAAAAAAAGGGGGGGCGCTGTAAGGACAGTCAAGGACCAGTGATGAAGCCCCCTATACGAACTACGGTTGATGGTACAAATCCTGCATGACCTTAAGGACCTGAAACTATGGGAATTGTGGTATATTCCTTCTTATGGATAATGCACGATTTCTATCATCAACCGTATGTCCCTATACCCTAAAACCTAAAACCCTACACAAACTATGTCAATGAAAACCCTTTTTTTTTTCTGGGGCGGCCCGGCCTCGAGAGGTGTGAAAACGCAAGGTTCCACCTGACCGTGTGTGTGTGTGTTTATTTTTTATTTTTTGGGGGGGGTGGGTTTGGGTTTCTGGGTTTAGGGTTTTAGAGCTTCGGGTTTAGGGTTGAGGGGTTTTTGGGTGAGTGGTTCGAGCTTTAGGTATGAGTTGCCTCTGCGAGTTGAGGTTTGGGGGCTTAGGCGTCGGATTTAAGCTTAAGGGCTGAGTATCCCAGCCCAAAAAAAAGGTGAACCCTTGAATTATGGTAGGATTATACAAGCCGCAAAAAGGTTAAAGGTTACCTACTCAGCTACTAAGTAGGAGTTTTTTTCCCACCCGCCCAGCGAGTTTCGTTCGTTCGAGGGACTCGGGGAGGACCGAGGCACTCTGCAAGCTCCGAGTTTAGGGTTTAGGGTGTACCTGGAAAGCCAGTAGTCTGGCATTTAGGGGCTACTTTTTGAGCCAATTAGGGGCTACTTTAGGGTATGGTAGTCTGGTTTTTTTGGGCTACTTGGCTTTTCAGGTAGGAGTGCTACTGGGAGGGTGCTTCTGAGGAGGAGTCTTGAAGCTCGGGGTGTGCGCCCTCAAGGCTTCCAGAGCCAGGGATCCCTCTTTCCTGTTTTTTTTCGAGATCTCTGCAAGAAGGTCCCCACGGCTCTTTACGATTAGGATCACCAAAAGTGCATGTTATGGGAAGTCCTTTAATGGTTATGTGGTTTATTCACTGCTTCACCTTTCTTGTTCCCTGTTAGGGCCATATTAAAAATATACATTTTTAATCCTTATTAGGTTTTATTATAACAAAAATGTAAAACTGTATCCAACAAGGACCCAGCTTTGGGGAAGAGTCGGGGAGGTGGCGTCGACATGCCAGCATCGGCCGAAAGCTTCGGCTTCCGGATTCCGGATTGCAGCTGGGCTCGGAGTCTGAATGCCGGATTACTGGGTTCTTGTTAGGGAATTTAGTTTAAGTTACCATAATAGTAAATAATGTGGTTTCTTTATTATGGTAACTTAAATTAAATCCCCTAACAAGAACCCAGATTATCAGCCTAAGTGGTAAGCCCCTGTGCATTGCTGCTTGCTGTATTCCCCCATGCATTGAAGCCCTCGGATCTTTACTAAGCCATGCTACGGAAAGAAGTAGTAGCCAGCAGCTTCGCAGCACTTCCATCTTTAGTCTCAGTGATTGCAACCTAGCCTTCGATGTTACTTGTACGGACATCAGACATTGTGGTAGAAGAGCGCTATGCTTCTGACCTAAGAGCTCAGACTTACTTCCAGTGCTGCACTTCGGGAAGTGGCGTAGAAGGCAAAGCATCACACACAGCCGGGGCCTCCGGATCTCGACCCCGGCGATGGTGACGGGATCGACATGTAATGAGATGCTGAGGCAGCTGTGCTGGTCGCCCCACCTCCCATCGTCCGTGTGGTGCGGTCCCCCACTGTGGTGCGGTCACCCGGAGTGGTGCGGTCTCCTGGAGTGGTGGGAGGGTAGTGGGGCGAGTGGCCGATGACCTGGGGCGGTGGGCTGCAGGAGGCGTGTCGGCCCTCGTAGCCATCAGGCCTCGGGCTCCGCCGAGATGTGAGGAGGCAGGGAGGGCTGAATCTCGCCGAGTGCTCTTCGCGGCTCGAACGTGCGTTCGGGGGCCGGAAAAGAGGGAGCACGAGGCCACCGTTCTTTTGTACCTTGGGTTCCGTCCTGCTGGGTATCTCCTCAGGCGGTCCTGCACTCATGCTGGAGTCAGATGTCCAATGCCATCGGACTGAGTTGCCACCCCTGGCAGAGGATCCGTGGGCGCTGTTCTCCTGTGCAAAGTCAGAGAAAAGTCTAAAAGCCAATCGGTTTGCTCTTCCAGTTTTTTCGCTGTTTCTCTTACTCTGAACAGTTCTCTTCCCTTGCCCACCCAGTCTACGCCTACGCACGTTGCTCCTTTCGCTGTCTGTTAAATTAAAGGCGAGGTCATGTCTCGACGTAGGTAAGTAAACAGGTAAGTATGTAGGTATGTATGTATGTATGTATGTATGTACATCTGTATGCACGCTTGTATGCATGCAGACGCATGCACGCACCTAGAAAGACAGATACATAGACAGATACATAGAAAGATGGATGGGTAGATAGACAGCCAGACAGACGGATGGACGGACGGACACCGACACAGACCGACACACACAAACCGACAGACAGACAGACAGACAGACAGACAGACAGGCAGACAGAGGACAACACAGATAGATAGATAAGTAGATAGATAGATAGATAGATAGACAGGTAGATAGGTAGATAGATAGATAAATAAACCGACAGATCAACAATAGACAGAAACATAGTTCGGTCGATAGACAGAGAGATAGATAGACAACGCCCTCAGCGACCGGAGGTCCTTCAACTGGACCCTCAGGGGGAAGCAGTCCGGATGAGGAGCAAGAGTCGGGTTCACATAGACGAGCCGATCGTATCGGTCGTAGACGACCTGGACTTTGAAGTAACCAGGGAGAAAAAAGTATAGACCTTTATTTTATAATGGTTCCTTTAACAGGTCCAATAAAAAAATATACAAGTATGGTACTCTAGAACCCAGCGACATAGTCGTCGGCACTGCGACCCTCCATGTACGTCGTGATGTCCATGTGCCAGTCCAAGCTATACTCGATGTTGATGGGTGCCTGCGAGCATCACCAGCAGTCTACAGGCACGAGCGCCGGCAAACTCGACAAGCAAGCATACTTCTGTTTTGGCAGTCTTGGGGCATCAGATCCTGAAGCAAGACCCCGATCCACAGTATGTTGCACATCGTATATACTGTGCGATCTAAGTACAGAGTATCACATATCTATGGTGTTAATCTGTACATGGTATGTGGGTAGTTCTCTAAATTAGGGTCCCTTTTGGGGTCCTTTTGATAAGGGTGCCGTACTATCTTGGGGACCTAAAAAGGGACCCTATATTCAGAGAACTACCCTTATAGTACCCTTTTGGAACCCCTTATATAGATCCCTTTAAGGGCCCCTACTTGGAGGTTCATGGGTAGTTATAAGTGGAGTTATAAGTCCCCTAATATAGGTTATAACCATAGTTACCCTACTTATAATCCCACTTATAACCAACCACGAACCTCCAAGTAAAAGGGACCCTGATTTAGAGAACTGCCCTTATAGTACCCTTTTTGGGAAACCCTTATAGATCCCTTTAAGGGCCCCTAAAAAGGGACCCTAAAATTAGAGAGCTGCCCTAAACCCTAAACCTAAGCCTAAACCCCTAAACCCTAAACTCTAATCCCTACTTTAAAGAACCCCTAAACCCTAACCCCTAAAACACAATGACCCTAGGGCCCAAGGAGAGAGAGGCTGCAGCCCCCATAAAGGCACCCTTTTGGAAACCCTTATAGATCCCTGCAAAAGGCCCCCAAAAAGGGACCCTAATTTAGAGTTATAGATCCCTTTAAGGGCCCCTAAAAGGGACCCTAATTTAGAGAACTGCCCATAAAGGCACCTGGAAGCTCAGAGCATTGGCCTGCGCTGGCATGCTGCCGTCGCAACCTGGGAGGAAAGGCACAAAGAAGTCTCGAGTAGGAATCAGGGTTTCGGGGTTTAGGGTTCAGGGTTCCTTAGGGGCTGAGTAGGTTTGGGTTTTGGGGTTTAGGTTTAGGGTTCCTTAGACCCTGAGTAGGTTTCGGGGTTTAGGGTTTAGGTTAAGGGTTCCTTAGGGGCTGAGTAGATTTGGGGTTTAGGGTTCCGTAGGGGCTGAGTAGGTTTGGGGTTTAGGGTTTAGGGTTAAGGGTTCCTTAGGGGCTGAGGAGCCCCAAAAAAGGTTAACCTTTCAATCGTGGTAGGATTAAAAAAGCAACCAAAAAGGTTAAAGGTTACCTACTCAGCTACTAAGACTCTCGAGTAGGAATAAGGGTTTTGGAGGTTTACACTCTCACTCCTCGGACATGCCAGCCTAAACCCTAAACCCTAAACGCCTAAACCCTAAACCCTACCTCAGAGCCCGAAGCCCCCCTCCTGGCTCGCATGGCAGGACATGCCAGGCAAATACTTAATGTAGGGGCCTTAATAATTAGAATAGGGTTCCTTAAAAGGGGGGCACTATAAGGGTTACTATAGGGGCTCTATAATTTATAGGGGCCTTTTTAAGTAGAATAGGGTCTTGGGGGGATCCTTATTATAACTACAGTAGAATATGCCCCGAAACCCTATTCAAATTGTTAAGGCCCCGAAAAACCAGAACCCCTATAGTAATCCTTATAGTGCCCCCCTTTTAAGGAACCCTATTCTATTTATTAAGGCCCCACAACTAGGACCAGGCTACAGGTCGGCAAGCTAAGACGTAGGGTTTGGAGCCCCTAAGGCTCCAAATGGGACTTCTTCATCTTTGGTTTTTAGGATTTGGGGGCTTGGGGTTTAGGGGTTTAGGGGCTTAGGGTTTAGGGGTCTAGGGTTTAGGGGTTTAGGGGCTTAGGGTTTAGGGGTTTAGGGTTTAGGGGCTTAGGGTTTTTAGGGTTTAGGGGCTTAGGGTTGGATTCACACTAAACCCTGCACCCCAAGACTTTGAGTCTGAAGCAGGCATTCACTGACTAGGCGAGACAGGCCCTCTTGGTTCCTGAGTAGCCTCTTTATAATAAGGGTACCCTTTTTCCTATTATTCGGTTTTAGTAAGGGGGCCCTAAAATAAAAAGGGCAAAAGGGTACTACTCAGGGACCTAGCCCTAGATCCGAAAGAAGCAGCATCCATCTTTCCAACCTTCTGTGGCCATCCACCCTGACCGACAGTCCCTCAACCCGAACCCCAATGCTATGCCACCACCCTAAACCCAGAGACTCCAATATCCCTTAGTTAAGAAATATACCTTGAAATATAATCGGAACCATGCTAAGATTTAAGGTATATTCCTTAATTAAGGGATATTGGAGTCTCTGGGAACCAAACAAGTTAACAACATCCCACCACCCTAAAGCCTCGAACGAAGCAGCCCTAAGAGCCCAAAATTCCTAGGCCCTCCTAAGAGCCCTATATGGAATCTTTAAGCCCTGAAGCCACAAAATACCAGGAACCGATAGCCCCAAGCCTTAAACACCTCAACCCTTATAACCACCTTAAAAAGTCCTAGGCCCGAAACCCTAAACCCTAAACCCAAAACCTTCAAGACCCTAGGCCCGAAACCCTTTAAGCAACAGTCCGGGGAGCCCATGACTTCGTAGACAACCGTCGGCTCTTGGCGGCCTTTGACCTGACGTACAGTGGAGGCTTAGGCAGTGAAGGGATCCGGGCTTAGGGCTGATATTCTACTATATGGGAGTTTCCGAAGATAGGGGACCCTAAAATAGTACCCTAGATAGTAAGAGCCTTATTATAAGGACCCTAGAATAAGGTACCCCCTTGTTTTCGGAAAGCCCCATATGTTCTCTTAGGGGTGATCAGGGAATACGGTTCCTATATAAGCGGTACGGAATAGGGTTAGTGGGATGTTAGTGGTGTAGGGTCTAAGTTCTTGTTTAGGTTTGGGGCTTCGGGTTTGGTGAATATACCTATGGCTGACCTGCCTTTTTTGGGTCATGTAGCAGGAACTAATACTAAGGAACCCGTAACTTGTAACATGTAGGTTTTTCGGGCGACAGGTGCAAGTTGCAATAAGGTATCTCCATAGCAAACAAAGTTCACACTGGTCTACACTAGTTTACTCTACTGATGCGGGATATGAAATGTTCATATTGGTCTTCTTGTAAAAAGGCAACCCACAATCCCAGAGAGCCCAATACCCCTTAATGAAAGAATATACCTTAAATCATAACATTAAGGCCCCTATAGTTTAAGGTATATTCCTTATTTAAGGGGTATTGGGCTCTCTGGGAAAGTTTTCGGGTCATGAAATCATCAACTTGCCCTGCTGCAGTTGCTGTGTGGACCAGGCCAAGGTTTGCGGTGTTTTGGGTGGCAGGGTATGACTCGAGCGATGCTTGATGTCTATGTGGAACTGCACAGGGAAACACGGGGCCTAGGGCTAGGGTTTAGGGCCGTGTTCTGCAAGAAGAAAGCTAACCCAACGGGTCCAAAGTACCAACTTCGGCCCCCAAACTCTATACTATACTATTACTTGGACCCTTTGGGTTTCTGTTGATTCTGGCAGGATAGAAAGGAGGCTTTCAAGCAGATCGCATTTGCTTCGTCGAACCTAGAACCCTACTTGGAGGTTCATGGTTAGCTATAAGTAGGGTTATAAGTAGGGTAACTATAGTTATAACCTATATCACGGGAGTTATAACTCCACTTATAACTACCCATGAACCTCCAAGTATACAACAGCACGGTGTCTTTGGATGGCTCGCGAGAACCGGCAGGGTCGGCAACGGTTTAGGGTTTAGGGTCTAGGGTTTAGGGCAAAATTGAGCCTACTCCGGAGGAAAGTCTGTCGACTTTCACAACAGGGGAACAGAGAACCGTAATCAAAACTTCAGAGAATTCCAAACAAAACTGTGTAGTTGGGTGGCCCATGATCACAAGAAGGGACGGCTTTATCCATGCAAACACAAAACTGAGATTGAAACCTATTCCGGGATCAGAACTTTCGACATGCAAAAAAGCGGCGTATGCAGAGAGAGAGAGAGAGAGACAGAGAGAGATAAAAAGAACCAACGTCATTTTAGTACCCTAAACTTCCGAAAACTACATCCTGAATGAACACCCCATACTCCCTCTTTGACACATGAAATAGCTGATATAGGGGCCTTAATAATTAGAATAGGATATTGGGGCCCAGTATACTATATCTACAATAAGGAACCCACAAAAACCTATTCTAATTATTAAGGCCCCTAAACCCTAAACCCTGAAAGTAGCCCTTGTAGAACCCTTTAAGGAACCTTTTAACGGAACCCCCGAAAACCTATTCTAATTGTTCAGGCCCCTATATTATGGCGACTTGGCCTGGAGGTCTCCGATCTTCCGACAGACCATGCCCCGCAACTGTTGGTGGGTGGCATCAGAGCACATGACCTGCTGCTTTAGGGGATCATGGTTAGTTATATTATAAGCAGGGTTTAGGGGTTTAGGGTTTTAGGGTTTAGGGGTTTAGGGTTTAGCTTAGGGGCTGAGTACCCTAGCCCAAGCTTTCAATTATGGTAGGATTATATAAGCCCAGAAAAGGTTAAAGGTTTCCTACTCAGCTACTAAGGCTGTGGCTTTCTGGGCATGTCTTAATGCTTTGCTTTCCAACTCTGGCAATCTAAAGTTCAACCTACGCCTCGCACATCAACCCCACAGTCAAGGGGTACTTTCGGAAAAAGAGGACACCGCTAGCAACCGTGCCTATAGACAACGGCTTAGGGGTTTCGGGCTCTCTGGCTCTCGGTCCACAGCACCTAGCCAGGGCCGTGGCAGGTCCAACGAAAAGCCGGAAACATGAAAGCCATGCTATGATGATAAGAATAATACTGGACATAGAAATAAGGATAAACATAGTAATAATCCAGCACATGCTGCGTGCACCATGGCCATGCCCGTGCTCATGAAGTCACATTAACCCCGAAACCACGAACCCTGGACCTCAAGCGATGCATCGACGGCCATGTAAGCTGCAAGCTCGACACTTTAAATTTCAACTCTAAACTCGACGCTCGAAAGCACACCATACCTTCACAGCGCACCCCTATACCCCTAAACCCTGCACCCTTAGCCCAGATAATATACCCTATACCCTCAACCCTGGCACCAAAGCCCATCAGAATGCGCGAGGCCTCGCGATCGTAGATTCGGCAGAGCCCCTGGGGCGTCATCCCGGGGTTTACAGCTTGGTAACGGTTTAGGGTTTACGCTCTCACAACTCGGACATGCCAGGCACGGTTTAGGGTTTGGGGTTTAGGGCCTAACTTCGGGTGGATTCAGGGCTTAAATAATAGGGTAGCAACAGGTTTTGCATTAGGGTGGTCGATTTACGGTTCAAAATCGGGTGGCAACCGGGTTAGGCCTTCCGGCATCACGTTTTTTAGGCTAGGAGACGTGCAACTCTTCTGATGCACAGCAGACAGCACGGAACTATCCCTCACATCAGCCACCGCTGCCGTGGAAAGATTAAAGAACCAAGGGTTCGGGAACAAAAAGCTTAGAGATTAGGGTCTACCCTTAATAATTAGTTTAGGGTTTTGGGGCTCCTTACAATGATCATAGGATAATATACCCCCAAACCTTGTTCTAACTATTAAGGCCCCTATATTCGAGCTTAATTCGACCCCTCTGTTTAACTCCGTTGATGCTAGTGGTCTGGTGCGGGGGGAGGCTTCCAACAATCACGGTTCGGAACCCGACTGGGGGATGCAAATGGGGAATTGCAAGTTTGTGGCTCCTGTCTTGTGTCAAGCTATTAGGGAATTACAAGTTGCAGGGTGTGTCTTTGCGTCAAGCTATTGGGGAATCACACTTGTCAGGGTCTTGTTTTGTGTTGAGCTGTTGGGGCATCACAAGTTCCTGTGCTCTACGCTGCATCAAGCTATTTGGGAATTCCTACTTTCCAGGTCCTGCTTTGCGCCAAGCTATTGGGGAATTGCAATTTGCAGGGTACTTCTTCACTCCAAGCTACTGGGGGATTGCAATTCCGAGGCTCTTGTTCTGTGTCAAGCTATTGGGGAATTCTATTTTGCAAGGGGCGTTTTTTTCTTCAAGAACACCACGATTTCCTGATGCTTCGGATGGATTTCGTGTGACCAGGTGGACCGAGGGGCTAGGCCAACCCTGCCAAGTTGCAAATACCATGATTGTGGGCAGGGACCAGAGGACCAAAGGACAAGGGGACCAGAGGACCAGAAGACCAGTGGCTTTAGGCCAACCCTAGCAAGGGCCCCAGACAAGAGCCAACGTCAGGAGAAAAAAAAGGCCCAACCTCAACCGAAGACAGACCATACCCTAAACCCTAAACCCGAAATGAAGCGAGCCTGCAGCCGGCTTGTGAGGTTCATGGAATCGCCGATGCAGCCAAACCTTGAGCAACAGTGGCTTCTGGGATCAACTCATCGACAATCTGCTTATATACAAAGTATTGACCTCCGTCTTTGGAAGGTTTTCTTTTCCCTCTGGCATGGCTAGGATCAATGCCTACAAACAAGAGAGGTCGGAAAAGGATGCTCTCTTCACTCTCTGTACACATGCATTTCAGTCAGATTTAGGGTGTCGCGGGCCCTATCGGGCTTTGTGGATGTCATGGGCGGGATGGGGACAGTTTAAGGGCTGCTTGTCACAGGCTTGTCGCGCTTGTCCAAGGTTTGTCCCTTTGAGTTCCGAAGGTTTTGGGTCTGTATCAATGCGTAGATGTCCCTTAACTAAGGGTCCTGTTTAGGTTTTCAATATAGTACGGCACCCTTATAAAAAGGACTCCCAAGGGGACCCTATTTTAGAGAACAGCCCATTTATGAATCAAGGTTCTTTCTGGTGTAACGTTCAGAATGGAGACCGCAACTTGTGTAAAGGGATTAGGAGTTCAACACATTCCGCCCTTGCGGTTGACGTCCTTGTGTCCCGCACAAGGATGTAACGGGTCAGTAAGTGCTTCCTCCGGGCTCTTCCTTAGGGTTTAGTCTTTCGGGTTTACCTTCCCTTAGAGGCTGAGTACCCTAGACCAAAGAGGTAACCTTTCTATTATGGTAGGATTATATAAGCCCAAAGAAGGTTGAATGCTACCTACTGAAGACTCCAGCCCAACTGATCCTGCTCCTTCGCTTGGAGCCCTCAAAACCGGCGGGCCATTCAGGGTCGCAACAAGACTGTGGCACTGACCTTCGGGCCAAAGCCGTAGATGGCCTAGGCCTTGTGCAGCCCGAGTCGCTTCATCTTCGTGTGGCTGCCGATGTTGCCACACAGGACTTCCCCCGTGTGGATGCCGATGCTGAGCTGCAACGAGCTTTCTGAGAGACCTGGCTTTTGCTGATACCCACTCTGTGACTGCCCTCCGGTTGTGGGTTCGGGGCTTTGGTTTGCAGAAGCTGCGGGAGGAATCACCACGGCCAGCCTAGCAATTCACGCATTTGAGGAAGTTGTATTGGTAGAAGCTTGCGGCAACAAGAACTGACAAGAACCCAGCGCAATTTTGACCAGCCGTGGGGGTCTCTGCCACATGTAGTGACAAAAAAGCGCAACAAGGAAGACCTGTCGAACCCGGGTGGACAACGTTCACTCTTTCGTAATGGCGCACACTTCACTTCTCGAGACGAGATCCGGATCCTGCAGCATAGGAGCATAGCATATGCTAAAGACCTAGGGGCTGAGTACCCTAGCCCAATAAAGGTTAGCCTTTCAATTATGGTAGGATTATATATTTTTTATATAAGCCCAAAACGGTTAAGGTTAAAGGTTACCCAGAAAGCTCCAGCCCAAGACAACTCCCGACTCATCCCAAGCCGCCTACGCTCTCCAAGTGATCCGCGATGTCGGCACGCAGCAACGTCATACCCTGCCCACAGGCCAGGTGGGGTCCCTAAAGCCCTAAAGCCCTAAACCCTAAAACAATAAGCCCTAAAACCCCAAGACCCTAAAACCCTAAACCCCTAAAACCTAAACCCTACAAACCTCCTAAAACCTAAAACCTAAAGCCCTAAAGCCCTAAACCCCCTATAAAGCACATCTGACGGAGCCCCAACTGCAGAGGCTGGTGGGCTGCCAAGGTGTCGGTGTTGACTTAAAAGCATCCGATGGCCTCCGCAGGAACAAGAACTACCCAAATCCCAAAAGTAGGTCCTTCGAGGCTTCATATACCTTAAATCTAATTAGAGTTCCTATTATAATTGAAAGGTATACCCAAACCCCAAAGTCGGTAATAGAATGCCCCAACCCCTATCAAAGGCTATTGTTCTGCATACTTTTGCGGTCCAGGTAGGCGTCTTCGAGGTTTCTACGGACATCATGAACCGAAGGCCTTTCGCTGTTGAAGAGCGCATTCGCAGGCTTTCGTAGCATGGTCCTCGATGTCGCTGGAGGCCTGGGAGTGTCAAACCTACCGGTCGTTTCTGCCAGCCGCATCGGTAGCTGATTCTTGTCAAGGAGCTGAGCCGAAGCAGCCAAAATCGGGGTATGCAGTGACATATACTCCGTATATATGCAAGTATGTCGACTCGAAATAAGCGAACTCTGGTGCTGGACCCGTGCATCAGGGCACGATATTTAATGCTGGTTCACAGACATCAATCGCAAAGGCTTCCAAACGACTCCAAAGCCCAGTATCCCCGGTAGAATAAATATACGGTACTCTACATACAGGCTCGTGTGCAACATTGACAGCCTGTAACACAAAGGATCCTTGATTCGGGGACATGTTGGAGGTTCTGAGATTCTGCCGAGGTTCATTCCAATAGACCAAGAGGCCGTCGTCCAGAATCTCTCCTTTTTGCAGAAGCTTTTCGAAGCCCCAGAAACTTGACCCTTCTAGGGATCTCCGTTCTAAGCTTCGGATATTCTTCATAATATTAAGATATTATTCATAATATTAAGGTACGGGTACGGGTCATGACAAGTAGTAATGGCCGGTTATGGGCAGAGTTTGCAATGGAAGCCGCAGCTCAGTTCCAGGCTAACCGAACCACTTGCACTCTCAAAGCCTTCAGTCGGGCATAGGGCATCTTGGAAACTCTTTTGATGCAGTCGTAACACCTATCTTAACCTACCAAAACCTCATTTTTTGTAGGGTCCCCTATAAATTCCATATTAGGGTTTATAATAAGAACCTACAAAAAAGTAGGTTATGGTAGCTTAAGGTAGAATATAGTAATCCCCATGCCCCCGGTCTTATCACCTTGCTTTCCAAGGGCATGGGGACGGGGGCTCTCTGCAAGAGTGTTGGTCGGCGGGCGTGGCCAACAAACACAGGCATTCGTGCAAGTGAGCTTTTCTCAGCCTGGCGGGCTCCGCACAACCTTCAACTGCCGACGGGCCAGTTATATACCAGACTAGCTGCCAGAATACCAAGAAAATGCCAGGAGTATTGCGCGAGGAGCCGGGAAATAGCGATGGAAACCGTCCGCGAAAAGCCACAAAACATGGCTTTCGTCAGTCTCCAGGCCAGCAGCAAGTTGGTTCCAAACATGCATCGGAGAGGATGGAATGCAACTGAAACGGAACGATGCGCAGGGAGAAGAATTACGTAGATACGAGTAGATGGTCACTACCAGGCCACGACTTGTGCATGCGGAACGCAATACAGAAGATCGATTCTCAGTAGTACGGTTGATGATATGAATCCTGCATTACCGTAAGGACCCTAAACTATGAAATTTTGGCCTATTCCTTGTTATGGGTCATGCAGGACTTATACCATCAACCGTATTATTCTCAGGGTCCTATCATGGTTAGACTCTAGCATACCCCAAAGCCCTACTCCGGAAGCAGCTACAGTAGGTTATGATCTCATCGTCCGCTGAGATTCGAATCATATTTAGGGTTTAGGGTTTAAAACTTAGGGGTTNNTAAGGTTTAGGGTTTAGAGATTTTGATTAAACCCGGCTTCACCTCTGACCAGGTCGGACCATGACTCCCACACCAAGTAAGTTTCCCAGACGAGTGGCCAATGGAGCCGTCATTCTGTTCCACGATCGACGTCATGTGGATGTGGAACCTTCCGAACTCCGGGTATAGCGTAACAGATGCATAGTTTCGACGGGTTGCATACTACGCAAAGGTGAAGTGGAGAGAGGCCAACTGAAGGGTACACTGCCACCTCTTAGAAGCCGTCGGGGCAGCACCGGCAACTCTTTCGGGTGGGCTTCGGTGATTCGGTGGGGCTCCTTAGGGAAGGGGGTATCCACGGGATCTTGGAAAATTCGGGGCGTGATGGACTCACAAGCAATCGGATTAGCATGCATGGGCTGCGGGGTATACGGTTCAGGGGTGACAGAAGCAAAGCTTGCCACTGGCTATCGAGGTCAGAAGGGCAGCAACGTGAGCAACTTCCCCTGCAGACCCAAGAGCTTTGAATTGATCCAGGCTCTTCATCAA